TCCAGGATGCTTCTGACCAAATAAGGACCAAATCCTTTCATTCCTACAGAATTAGAGGATTTTAAAGAATAATTTGCTTTATTTCCCTGAGGGGCACCGCCCCTTAGGCACCTGGGGGCCAGACCCAAGGTTTAAACAAAACTGGTTCCCCTTATCCAAAGGCGAAGGATGCTTCAGACCAAATATGGAACAAATCCTTTCATTCCTACAGAAGAAGAAGGATTTTAAAGAATTTGCTATATTTCCCCTATTGGGCCCCGCCCCTCAGCCTCCAGGATGCTTCTGACCAAATAAGGACCAAATCCTTTCATTCCTACAGAATTAGAGGATTTTAAAGAATAATTTGCTTTATTTCCCTGAGGGGCACCGCCCCTTAGGCACCTGGGGGCCAGACCCAAGGTTTAAACAAAACTGGTTCCCCTTATCCAAAGGCGAAGGATGCTTCAGACCAAATATGGAACAAATCCTTTCATTCCTACAGAAGAAGAAGGATTTTAAAGAATTTGCTATATTTCCCCTATTGGGCCCCGCCCCTCAGCCTCCAGGATGCTTCTGACCAAATAAGGACCAAATCCTTTCATTCCTACAGAATTAGAGGATTTTAAAGAATAATTTGCTTTATTTCCCTGAGGGGCACCGCCCCTTAGGCACCTGGGGGCCAGACCCAAGGTTTAAACAAAACTGGTTCCCCTTATCCAAAGGCGAAGGATGCTTCAGACCAAATATGGAACAAATCCTTTCATTCCTACAGAAGAAGAAGGATTTTAAAGAATTTGCTATATTTCCCCTATTGGGCCCCGCCCCTCAGCCTCCAGGATGCTTCTGACCAAATAAGGACCAAATCCTTTCATTCCTACAGAATTAGAGGATTTTAAAGAATAATTTGCTTTATTTCCCTGAGGGGCACCGCCCCTTAGGCACCTGGGGGCCAGACCCAAGGTTTAAACAAAACTGGTTCCCCTTATCCAAAGGCGAAGGATGCTTCAGACCAAATATGGAACAAATCCTTTCATTCCTACAGAAGAAGAAGGATTTTAAAGAATTTGCTATATTTCCCCTATTGGGCCCCGCCCCTCAGCCTCCAGGATGCTTCTGACCAAATAAGGACCAAATCCTTTCATTCCTACAGAATTAGAGGATTTTAAAGAATAATTTGCTTTATTTCCCTGAGGGGCACCGCCCCTTAGGCACCTGGGGGCCAGACCCAAGGTTTAAACAAAACTGGTTCCCCTTATCCAAAGGCGAAGGATGCTTCAGACCAAATATGGAACAAATCCTTTCATTCCTACAGAAGAAGAAGGATTTTAAAGAATTTGCTATATTTCCCCTATTGGGCCCCGCCCCTCAGCCTCCAGGATGCTTCTGACCAAATAAGGACCAAATCCTTTCATTCCTACAGAATTAGAGGATTTTAAAGAATAATTTGCTTTATTTCCCTGAGGGGCACCGCCCCTTAGGCACCTGGGGGCCAGACCCAAGGTTTAAACAAAACTGGTTCCCCTTATCCAAAGGCGAAGGATGCTTCAGACCAAATATGGAACAAATCCTTTCATTCCTACAGAAGAAGAAGGATTTTAAAGAATTTGCTATATTTCCCCTATTGGGCCCCGCCCCTCAGCCTCCAGGATGCTTCTGACCAAATAAGGACCAAATCCTTTCATTCCTACAGAATTAGAGGATTTTAAAGAATAATTTGCTTTATTTCCCTGAGGGGCACCGCCCCTTAGGCACCTGGGGGCCAGACCCAAGGTTTAAACAAAACTGGTTCCCCTTATCCAAAGGCGAAGGATGCTTCAGACCAAATATGGAACAAATCCTTTCATTCCTACAGAAGAAGAAGGATTTTAAAGAATTTGCTATATTTCCCCTATTGGGCCCCGCCCCTCAGCCTCCAGGATGCTTCTGACCAAATAAGGACCAAATCCTTTCATTCCTACAGAATTAGAGGATTTTAAAGAATAATTTGCTTTATTTCCCTGAGGGGCACCGCCCCTTAGGCACCTGGGGGCCAGACCCAAGGTTTAAACAAAACTGGTTCCCCTTATCCAAAGGCGAAGGATGCTTCAGACCAAATATGGAACAAATCCTTTCATTCCTACAGAAGAAGAAGGATTTTAAAGAATTTGCTATATTTCCCCTATTGGGCCCCGCCCCTCAGCCTCCAGGATGCTTCTGACCAAATAAGGACCAAATCCTTTCATTCCTACAGAATTAGAGGATTTTAAAGAATAATTTGCTTTATTTCCCTGAGGGGCACCGCCCCTTAGGCACCTGGGGGCCAGACCCAAGGTTTAAACAAAACTGGTTCCCCTTATCCAAAGGCGAAGGATGCTTCAGACCAAATATGGAACAAATCCTTTCATTCCTACAGAAGAAGAAGGATTTTAAAGAATTTGCTATATTTCCCCTATTGGGCCCCGCCCCTCAGCCTCCAGGATGCTTCTGACCAAATAAGGACCAAATCCTTTCATTCCTACAGAATTAGAGGATTTTAAAGAATAATTTGCTTTATTTCCCTGAGGGGCACCGCCCCTTAGGCACCTGGGGGCCAGACCCAAGGTTTAAACAAAACTGGTTCCCCTTATCCAAAGGCGAAGGATGCTTCAGACCAAATATGGAACAAATCCTTTCATTCCTACAGAAGAAGAAGGATTTTAAAGAATTTGCTATATTTCCCCTATTGGGCCCCGCCCCTCAGCCTCCAGGATGCTTCTGACCAAATAAGGACCAAATCCTTTCATTCCTACAGAATTAGAGGATTTTAAAGAATAATTTGCTTTATTTCCCTGAGGGGCACCGCCCCTTAGGCACCTGGGGGCCAGACCCAAGGTTTAAACAAAACTGGTTCCCCTTATCCAAAGGCGAAGGATGCTTCAGACCAAATATGGAACAAATCCTTTCATTCCTACAGAAGAAGAAGGATTTTAAAGAATTTGCTATATTTCCCCTATTGGGCCCCGCCCCTCAGCCTCCAGGATGCTTCTGACCAAATAAGGACCAAATCCTTTCATTCCTACAGAATTAGAGGATTTTAAAGAATAATTTGCTTTATTTCCCTGAGGGGCACCGCCCCTTAGGCACCTGGGGGCCAGACCCAAGGTTTAAACAAAACTGGTTCCCCTTATCCAAAGGCGAAGGATGCTTCAGACCAAATATGGAACAAATCCTTTCATTCCTACAGAAGAAGAAGGATTTTAAAGAATTTGCTATATTTCCCCTATTGGGCCCCGCCCCTCAGCCTTCAGGGGGGCCAGCTGCAGACCCACCATTAATACAAAATGTGTTCCCATTCCCCCAAGGATGCTTCTGACCAAATATGGAACAAATCCTTTTATTCCTACAGAAGAATTTGCTATATTTCCCCTATTGGGCCCCGCCCCTTAGCCCCCAGGGGGGCCAGACCCACCATTTATACAAACATTTTTCCCCTTCCCCCAAGGATGCTTCTTTAAATTACCAAATTTGGTCAAAATCTGCTCAGTCGTTCATGACTAGAAGCGGTTTAAAGGAAAAGTTGAAGGACGGACGACGGCCACTGCGGTATGGCATTAGCTCACCATGGTCCTTTGGACCACGTGAGCTAACAAGAGGCCCATGGGCCTTAATGATCACCTGATTTATGTAAAAACTGATGTTATCGATGTTGCCAAATGAAAAAGAACTCATTTTCTAACAAAGGTAACTTGAACTACATGTAATGCAAAAGTAGTGTGATAGATCTGGGTAGTATATGTACTATGTACAAATAGTGGTTCTGTCAGTCAGCTGAATTTTGGTAAAGTACCTTAAGACCCTTCCATCTATGAAGAGTATTTGATTCTACCATATCTGGATCTTGAGAAAAGATTTTTGAAATTTTAGTCAATTTGACCCTTTTTGGCACCGCCCCTCAGGCCCCTGGGGGCTGGGGACAAATTTGGTTGACCTGTTAGGGTTAGGGTTAGGGTTAGGGTTAACCCTAACCCATGGAAGGTTTCTGCAAAATTTCATTGAAATTGGTTCAGGGGTTTTGGAAAAGAAGTCGAAAATGTAAATTGTTTACAGACGCACGATGGACGCCGCCGGACAAAAGGCGGCCGCAATAGGTCACTTGAGATTTTGTCTCAGGTGACCTAAAAATGGAGATTGGGAAATTTTAATGAGATGTTGAGAAACGATAGCAAATAGCAGATCTGTCCCAAAAATGACCCAAGAAAAAGGAAGTATTATGCTATAGGATAATAAGTTTTGGATAGTTTGCAATAAGCATAGATCACAAGTTCAAGTTTGGTAGAATCATTTACTTATACATGGCCCAAGACATACACGTAGAGTATAATGTAAATTAATGTCCTTATGAAAAAATAAATGAAGGGCAATTCTACGAAATTAAGTGTGCGTGAAATAATGAAAGGCCGAGAACGGTGAAACGGTTATGTAATGCTAGGTATTATCCATCTGCCAGAAAGGCAGTTTTCAGGAAATCCTAGTCAAGGGATGTGAAATTGAAAATAACTGTTCTGTAGATACGGAAGACAACTTATACAGGAATATTTGACTACTGACCAAGTAAGATTTAACTGTTCTGTAGGTAGGGGAGACAACTTATACAGGAATATTTGACTAATGACCAAGTAAGATTTAACTGTTCTGTAGATACGGGAGACAACTTATACAGGAATATTTGACTACTGACCAAGTAAGATTTAACTGTTCTGTAAGTAAGGGAGACAACTTATACAGGAATATTTGATTACTGACCAACAAAGATTTAACTGTTCTGTAGTTAGGGGAGACAACTTATACAGGAATATTTGACTACTGACCAAGTAAGATTTAACTGTTCTGTAGGTAGGGGAGACAACTTATACAGGAATATTTGATTACTGACCAACAGAGATTTAACTGTTCTGTAGGTAGGGGAGACAATTTATACAGGAATATTTGACTACTGACCAACAAAGATTTAACTGGTCTGTAAGAAGGGGAGACAACTAATACAGGAATATTTGATTACTGACCATATTCGACAGCTGTGGTGTCACACTCGGGGCTGTTGTTTGGGTAAGTACCAGGAACTTTGACAGATATTGGTGGTATACTCGGCAAGTTCTTGTCATCTGAAGACACAAGTAAAAACAAAACTACACATGTAAACATCAAGGATAGGGGATTGTGTTAAGTCTTCACTGTGTTGATCAAAATATATTACAAATGTTTATTGTCAATAGACTAAAAAGTCTGTAAAATAGTCTCTATAAACAGTTGAAATATTTTTTAAGTAGTATCCTAGATGACACGTGTATGATTTAGTGTGTTGTGAAATGGGTTCTCTACCAACACAATTACCTGGAATTCCTGTTGGTAGTGAAATCTTATTGGAATCAACAATAGTCTCCCAAGGATTTAAGATAGCTGAGTGGGTTAATTATACATGTCCTGACTGAGTGGGTTAATT